GCGACTCCACTGTTCCTGCTGGATCTCTCTCTGTGGCCTTCAACACCATCAACCACGGTATCCTTCTGGACCGCCTGCAAGGGTTTGGGGTCAGAGCCTTTGTTCTCCAGGGGGTCTGCTCCTTCTTGAATGGGTATTTTATTTTTGTTTTATTAAATTTAGAGGCTGTTCGGCTCCAGACAGCTCTGGGTGGCTTACATTTAAAAGTAGAGAATACAAAAAGATTGTGCACATCTGAAAGGAGCAACCACAACACCCCAAAGAGGGTCCCAGCCAGTGTGTTGGGGGAATGAGAGGGTGAGCCCCCAGGCACTCCAATATGGGGTACGGCAGAGCTTGATCCTTTCCCCATTCTATTTAACAACTGTATGTAGCTGCTAGGGAAGATTATTCAATGGTGTGTGGGGGGGTATCCTCACTATGCAGATGATACTCGACTGTACCCCTACCTTAGACCAAATGGGAGTTATGGCAGAAATCTTGACCTGGTGCCCAGAGTCGGTGAGGGCCTGGATAGGAAAAAACAGGCTGAGACTTAGCCCAAACCAGACTTCAATGTTGGGCTGTGCTCCCCAGGAAGCAGCTGGACTGTAACTCTCCTGGACTCCTGGCTCCTGCTAGAAGGCGGAGATCATGGCTGAGAAGGCCTCAGCCCAGTTTTGGTTGGCGTACCCGTCACGGCTGTTCCTGGAATGGGAGATCCTGGCTAAATCGGCTCACGCCCCCATCTCTTCTTAGAAGGACTACTGCAATGCACTCTGCCTGGGACTGTCCCTGAAAACCAGCTGAAAACCACCAACCACCAAACTTCACTGGTGCAGCAACAATTCACCAGTGGAAACTTCCCAGTCTTGTCATAAAACCCCACCACTCCTGGAGCTGCTTGGGCTACTAGGGACGACTCACGGTGCTAGTAAGAACTTCTAAGCTGGGTGTCTTTGTTCAAGTAGAATCTGCCCAAGGTGGGCCAGTACAGAAACTACACCCAGAGTTCCCACACCTGGAAAGATATGGGGGGGGGGCGGCTTTGGAGCAAGCATCCTCTGCCAGAGCTCCCTTCCAGTGGAACCAGTCGCCCCCAGAGAGAGCACCGGCACCTCACTACTAATATTCAGAAAACTGGTTACTTCAGCGGACTTCCGGGATCAAGGAGTTACTGACTTACACGCTTGGGATATGTGTGGGTGCTACTGAGCACTGCTTTTTGTGAAGCTGAATTGTTGACGGTGGTAAGGTTACCTATGGTGTATTCCTTCTGTAAGCCGCTTAGGTTTGTTTTGATCAAAGTGGCATGAAAACAGCTGTCAATAACCAGCTGGCTGACGAAATAAGTAAGCCTTTCCTGGGTGACTAGCATTCTCTTTTGGATAGTCCCAGCCATGCTGAAGGATGAGGATACCTCAAGCCAGTGTCAGCGGAGAGCGGTCACCCCTGGCCTCAGAGCATGCACAGAAGGCTTTTGTCCTTGCCAGGAGAAACAGAAACAAAGCCACAAATGTGGCAGGGCCTGCAAAACTGTGGAGCCACTGGCCACGCCTCTTAGCTCAAGAATCAAGAATGACTCCCGGAGAGGAGGGCACCACCCCAGTTAGTGTTTTGGAGGAGAGCCAAGAGCCAGCTTTCTGGAGAGCCTCTGGGGCAGAACTGGATGTTCACTCACAATGGCTCCGGAGGACATGGAGCCAGGAGGCAGGCTGAGGATACCCGGTATCGGCGGTGACTGCTGGAATACGCTCACTGAGGTTTGCCGCGTTATTAGTCTTGGAAGAACTTAAAGCACCCGCGGTGGGGTTGCATGGAGAAGCCCAGAAGCCCAAGGAGTAATACCCACACACGTGTCCCGGCGTGGCTGGCCCGCAGTTAGTTTCACCCAGTAGTTCAGTGCCAAAGACCTCCGAGATCCCAGCGGGCAGAGCGCCCCTCTCGCCCAGGGCAGGAGCTTCTGCCCGAAAGAACCCCACCGCTCTTCCCGCTCAGAGTGCCCTTTGGGTCAGGAGGCTTTTCTCAGACGCTCGCTTCTAACAGTCGCTCACGCTCAAGGAGCTCTCGCTGCTTGGGGGACGGCAAGCGTGCGCCCACCCACCCACCGAGGATCCCACTTGGAACCCCATCACGTGGATCCCCGAAGCGGAATTCGGCCGGCTGCCGGACAGAACTGCCCTTAGGACGCCACCGCAGCCGCTCCAGCTGGGGTCGGGAAGGAACTGGGCCGAGGCCTCACCAAGCCAGCCGCCGTCCTGCCCCGATTCCTCTTCGGCTCTTTCCCAACCGGACCGGACCGAGGGCGGAAGACACGCCGTCACCCAGAGACAGGCCGGGGGCTGTTGCCCGCCTGCCTCCCTCCCCCCCCGGGAGCACCAAGAAGACCCCCTCACCTGCCAGCAAGAAGGTGATCAAGCAAGTCTCCTTCGGCAAGTAGAGCTTCAGCCGGGAGCCGCTGAAGACGTACTCCACAACCGCTTCCGAGCGGCCGGCCCGCTGCAGGAATGGCAGGAACTGCTTGGCTTTCTGGGTGTCCTGAGGAGGAGAGAGGAGGGGCCCGTGAAGGGTGTGCTGGCGCCAGGCCCCTCGGCCCGGCTGCTGCTCCCGCTGGCAGGGCGAGGGGCAGGCTGCAGGCGGGGGGCAGCCCGCTTGAGGGGCACCCCTGCACCCTCACCCTCCACTCCAGACTGGT